CGGAACGACACCCTATAACATTCCGCTACATCAATATCCTAACACAGATGAAATATTTTTGGGAAACCAAGATTGTTACTATTATTTTTTATGAAACGAAAATTGATACAATTTATTGATAATATTAATTAATTCATCATACTGATTAAAACTAAACAATTACTATTGGGTGAACTGATTGAAAACTGGTGATGTACTGACATAGATTGTTGAAAAGAGGGAAGCCGTTCACCTAACATGCAGACGTAAATGATAAACGAGTTATTCGTAAAAACATGAAATACAACTACTTAACAACATTTTATTCTAAGATATGATCCCAGGTATTTTTATAGCATTTGTACGTAGATGAGGTGGTTGTATAGATATTGATAATTGTTAATTCCACTTCAAGTTGATCAGCTGATTTTTATTGAAACTATCGTAACTAGGTTAGGACATCCATTTAATACAGTTAAAATGAAAAGGATAGATGGCTGCTTAAGCCAATTTGTTAAATTTTGTGAATATACATGAAACGCAATGGTTAATGGGTCAACGTAGTAATCTCATTGTATAATCCAGTGTGAAATTTGTCTCACAGACTGGATAATTTAGAAACACTTGTAGCAGATAAATTAACACTTTTAGGAAACTAATCACATAGAATTGTTCTATGATATAATTACAGCCTGAAGTGATGATAAAAAATGTAGTGTAAATATATAAAAAGAAATAATCAAAGGGCTTAAGTTATTAATAAAATATTATATACCCAGTAACAAAATAACACTTGGCACACGAAACGTGAGAAAATTCCAATGTATTAATGAAAAATTTAAACTTTGATAGCATCTCGTTAAATATGATACACGAACTTAGAAAATGAAACGTGTCAATTGCAACGAAAAAAAGAAATTATGCGACGTCTTTGCCCAATTATACAGGAATTTAAATTTCATTTTAGTAAATAACAGTCAAGTAAACGAAAAATCTACTTAAAGTTAAATTTGAAACTGTAAGCAAAACTAATGTGTTTCAATCAAATATTTTAGATAATCTTACTGGTAACACAGGAGCACCATTCTGAAAGACTTACGAAATTAATCCGTTTGGACTTATGGCTGTATATCGGTACAAATTAGTTACTGTTTTTCCTACTTTTCTAGAGGCTGAGAGCTTTATTTTAACACCACATCCAAGCTGGTGGTGAGTAGTACGTAATTACAAAAGGTGTATAAACTAGTTGAACTTTTCCTCTATGTTTTGCACATTGCTCCAGCGACTTGGTTTGATAGAGGATCACTGTTCCATTATTTTCTAAGAGGGACTGACCAGTTAACAACTACCTGATCTTAGTGTATTTGGAGAGTTTAAATAATTGTCTGCTGTCACCTACCTCTGCCATCTTTTTAATATTTATTGCTCCCCTCCATCACTCACTATCGGTGTGTACAATTTTCGTCGTTCTTCATTTAATTTGCAACTACTCATTAGCATGTTCTCAGACTAGGAGGCTACTCATATGCAACGGCTTCCCTCTATCTTCTGATCTAGATCACTAACGAATGGCTTATCCTATGAATACTGATTTTTACAGCTTTAGTTATAGTCACATTAGGAGAACAGACTTTCGTTCATTATCAGACTTATTATGCCTTATCAACCTGAGATCCCACAATATATATTTATAAAACCTATAGTCCTGTTTAGTGTAAGTTTGAAATCGAAGCTAACCAGTGCACACAAACAAAGACAGATGTTAAAAAAACAGTTAGATGGACACATGTACACATAAGATCAACAAGGCAATAAACTCAGAATGATCTGACACAGAACATTTAGAATCGACAGAGGGACATACAGCCAAAGACTAGCATAAACCATACAAAAAAAGACTTCATTGTCATACAAAATAAATATTTTAAATCTAAATTTTAGGCGACATAGGTGGTCACCCGAGAGAGGAAATATCATTTAGATGGAAAATTTGTCGTAGAAAAGAATACTTAGGTAATGTTGGTGTTCGTTTTGTAATTTATGGATGAAATGATAATCAAGAGCAGAATTACTAAGCCTTATGAGAGATCCTTAAAACACTAGTAGAGTGTAAACATCTTTATATATATATATATATATATATATATATATATATATATATATATATATATATATATATATATATATATATATATATATATATATATATATATATATATATATATATATATATTAAACCTCATCGTGTAAGAAGATATGAAAGATAAAGAATATGATTTAAATCTATGAAGAAAAGTTAAGAAATTTTATGTTAACTGGAGATATTAATTCAGCATATTGATGAAAACTCGTTCATAAAAGACGACCGTAATTCAACGGTCTCAATCTAAGAACTGAATTACAGGTTACGTACAAGCTTTTTCAAAAAAAAAATTAAGGATTTTATCATAGATAAATAGTGAGGTGATAATAACTGCTTCCAAGGTAAAAAAAAACAGACCAGAGTATTAGAAAGTAAAAAGGATAAAAAATAAATAGATGAAAAATGCAAACTCTACGTAAAGCCATAAAGTGAGGTAGTTAAAATGACTAGTACATTTTCGGTTTCAAAATCGAGATGATAATATTCTGTGTACAAATTTGGCATGAGAAATGAGAAAGCTCATATAAGCTACAAGTAGAAGACACAAACTTCGACTGATCATCTACTTGAAATTCTATAATTTGTAAAAGATAAACCAGTACGAATTCAACCTTGTCACAGTGTGAATACCATTTACATAAGCCAGTGTATTGAGTAATGTTTCAGTTAACAACGTTTACACGGTTTCACCTCTTGTTAGTAAAATATATCCATATATTGGAAACCAGTTGAAGTATATCATTTCTCTGACATAAATTATGCGAACGAGACGATGTTAAAATTGAAAATTGAAATACTAAGGTGGTATTTCCTTTAAATTTATTTTAAAAACTTTGTAAGCTTAAGCAATAAAAATACCTGATATATATCATTATTCGCACAACTAAGTAGTTATGTATATGCATAAAATTATCCAGATAAAATTAAGCTTCTTAAATGTATACTATATATGCTATGACTAAGTATGTCATAAGGATATACATGTTTCTATGTATATTCACACAAGTTATAGTTTATCTATATCCATAATCATTTTCTGAAAATAAATAAGACTGCAGAAAAAGATCATTAATAGTATTTAAAAACGGGGGCTGAAAGTTTTCAAAACCCCAATGAATCTAAGTGGATATCGTATCCCAAAAGACTTATTAAGAATCAGAGATTACAAAACAGATATCAATTTATCTGGATCCATGAAGAGAATGAAGAGTATAAAATGTTCAAAAGCAATTTAGTTACGCAATGATGCATCATTTATTAACCATAAACGACGTAAAGCTTGACCCCGATTACCAAGCTGAACATCAGTAACATGAGAAGGAATTAACAAACACAAAAGCAAAACTTTCAGTATCAAAGATAGGAAAAAATTGAAAACAGGATGCATTTGGAAAAAACGACTGAGTCTGAGGATGAAAAGTACTAAACAGTATTGAAACTGAAGATTATGAAATCGATTAAGAATGAGTATATCTGTCACACTGCGACTGATGTGAAAAACTTATTATCCAACATCTGCAAACATTGATTACATTTATTTCAGACTCCGCACTCCTTTAAACAGTGTACACCGACGGAAAATGAATTAATGAACCGATTTCTCATAACTTTTCTTCAACCTACTCCTCCTATAATACTCAACCCAGTACACTCTGATAAGCAGCCGCTTGTTAACTGTAGTAAATGTCTCAACTATGACTATCTATGAAGGTTAACACCATTAGCAACTGAGTTTTTCAACCTATTCCCTAATGCGTAAACTCAGGACTACCTACCTCATGAGCCTACCGTACTGCAGTAATGTTTCGAAGTGAAATATTCACAATCTACATATCTCCATGTTGGAAGACGATATGAAGTGAACTTCTGCACCGGATACTCACTCTCTGATAGGTAGACGGATACATCGCCTATGTCAAAGTAGCATTTATTGGCGAAGCAGAGGGAGCTTTTGAATCCATGTCTAGATTTTTTCAGACGCCCAACCATATTCAAAGTGACTAGCCACCTTACTTCCATTTGACTAGGTATTGACGCCTTCCAATTTTGAAGTAATAATTTGAATCTTGAGTGGGCGAAGAGTATTCTAAACGTTCTTGGACTGTCCCCTAAGGCAGTAATATGATTCAATCTAACAAGTCTTAGAATACTGACAGAATCCCGCGAATACAGTTAGCAACAAATCCCCCAGGCGAAACGTTACAATATAATAAGCTTTTGTATTTAGTTGTGGATGTTTTAAGAAAGCCGACAGAGAAATATAGAAATGGGTTTCATGCTTGTTACTGTTCATCAGCAAGCCACAGTTATAACTTGAAGACTAATGACCATATAAATACGTGAAATCGAGTTGATCAGCCTACTCTAAACACCAAGTCAAGAAGCAATCAGGAGTACGATTCAATAAGAATTAAAACTTGTACATTTGTTATATCTAAACGATTTAGAAAGTTTAGACCGAGGACAGAAGAGCGACATTCTGGTAACGGGTGAATAGTTACTAAAATAAAATCCAACAACTATTAGAAAGAACTCCGAAACATTAGTAAATATTTATATAATTGTCCCGATCAAATAATGTTGCATGGTTTTCAGCGTTTACTTACATTTCACGGAAGGAAATTATTATTTTATGCAATTCAAACAATATATGTATCCAATAAATTGATTTGATGAAAAATTTCAGTGAGAAACTGGTAGACCACAAGTCAGTTACTGAGCGTCATATCACTAATGTGTGTAAGGATTTCTAATAATAGCACTTAGAAAAATTAACATAAATTTTATTTAAATAAAAATTCACACTAAGATGAAAAACTGAACCAGTCATTCATTCATTACGACTTAAGAAAAAGATAATTAGATTTCATGAACTTACGATAGAGGAGACTATTTAGTGATGGCACATTGGCGCTAAATGCATTCTGAGTTGGAATTAGCGCAGAGTTATATGACAAATATGAAGTTGCAGATTCAGAATGTTCTGAGGAATCATTACGCGGTAAACCATCTGAATGAACATGGGTGCAGTTGTAAGAATAATCTCCAGGACGTAAATTCTGATGAGGCTGGTACTGACCCTCCGTCGGTGCACCAACAGATGCTGTATACTTAGCTCCTAAAGCAGATAAAGACCGCAAATGATCAACTGCCTCAGCTGCTGATATCAATGAACCCATTGCTGAGGCTTTGGAAGATGAGTGAACAGGACGACTAACTAATGTTTCATATCTCAAGCCAGAGAACTCAGGGTCACTGGGATCAGGTTTTGTAAAAGCTCTTGGTTGAGTTGACGAGTTATGAGTAGAATCAGAACCAGCTTCAAAAGATAGTACTCTAGTACTTAAATCTTTTGGATAAAAGCACTGGTTTTTGTCCCCATTTGGTTCCTCAGAGTAATTTCCTGTGGACTGAGTAATTCTTGTTTGACCAACCTGAGAGGAATAATCGTTACCAGGGCAAGATTCCTCTGCTTTACTGACTTCCTCATCTCGAGTTAGTGGACAACACATAGACTCACAAGACCACATTGGTGCAACTCGATGGTAATTATTACTAGCTGAATTGTATGTCATCTGCTCTGACTTATGAGAAGTGTTTAACGTGATGGTGGACGGTTTACCTGAAATTAAACTGTCAGTATCTGATATTGGTGTGCTGGATTGATTGTACGGATGAGACGACTTTATCGATGATGGAGCGTGCAAAGATGCTGTAGACAGATGAGGAGATAGAACTTGAGGTTCGGCATTCGAAACACAACCTGGAGTACGTTCTTCGACACTCGGAGGAGTACTGACACTACCTGAGGTTAAAGTTACCATTGATGGGAGCTGGGTAGATTGTGCATCATTTCCATTTTTGTTGTGAATAGGACGAGAGTTTATAGAACCTGAAAACTGTTCCCCATGTGTAAAATCAGAAAGATTAAGTGGTTGACCATCTAAGTAGCTCTGATGTTTTCTCGCTACAGCTGTTTCTCCGATTCGCTGTACTATAACACCGAAATCTTCTAGCATTTCGCCGAGTGTTTCTTGATCTAGGAACTTCTTTACACCATGTGAATCATCGCGTCTGGAATTTTCTTCACTTTCAAAATTGGATTCTCTCATCACATGATCTCTTATTCTATTATCTTTATGAGCTGAATCAGATTTTTTTTGAATATGCATATATCTACGAGTTAAAATATCACTATTTTCACCATCATCGAATTCACCATCGGGACTTCGGAACTTCCTATTCAGTTTTAAGAGATCTTCTTGTGGAAAACGAAACCTCTCCGTTGAATAGTTAAAGCCTTCTGACTGTAGCTGTGAATGAATAGAATGAAAGCCATTCGGGCGCTTTAAATTATCAATAAGTTCGGAGTGAGTATTATATTGATCCATAAGATTTCTTTGAGAACTGATTTCATTGGAAAAGTTAGTATGGATATTATCCGATATTCGTTCAATATGATATCCCCCACTACCTTGATGTTTTCTTGCAATACTACCACAGGATATACCTATTCCCGAGGGATGATACTGAGAGTGATTAAAATGGTTAGTTCCTGAAACTGATTCATCCCGTGGGACTTTCACGCTTAATTGGAAATGTTTACTAGGTCTTTCACGACTACGAGAAATCCGACCTCTTCTAAACCCAGAGCTTCTATAGTAGCCATAATAACTGGATCGCTTATCCTTCTGTGAGGCGTTTACTAACTGTGATGCCATAGATTCTGCTGCTCCAGATTCTAAACAAAATATGCGTTGAAGATAAGGTTGTAGTTGCTGTTGAAGTTTCGGACGCCTACCGCGTCTTCTTGGAGGATTCGGGGCTATTAGGGAGGACTCAGATGACATTTGCTGTTCAAGTAATCCGATCATATATGATTCTTCACGAGTGAAGGGACGAGCAGTATGAAAAGCAGCCCGTACGACATGCAAAGGCTGGGCTACGAGAGCATCATTCACTTCGTCAACAATTTCACTAATCTGGGTAGTTAGCTTTTCTCCTATCACGAATGTTGGAAGTACAGATAAAACGTGTGATTTCGCTTTTTCGAACTCCTCAACGGAACCAGATAACTCTGCATGTTGAAGTTCTGAAAGAATATTAAGCAAAACCAAGTTCAAACTAGACTCGTTACTTCCAGATTCTGTTGTGATGGCACTGGATGACGAGACCGAGGGTAATGGGGTTGCACATGACGGTTGTATATTTTGTCGACAAGGAAAAATTAGACCATTGACACACTGGTTTGAGTTATCAATAAATTTTCTTTCCGTGTTCGAACGATCTGTTTCGAATCCTCCACTGCCAAATAAGTCTGGTAGATCCGATTCTTTGTCAAGGCTATCCAAAATCCCACTAATCTCTGCGTCAAGAGGTCCAGGAACCTGGGGAGCACATGAGTCTAAAATATCAGCCATTCGATGACGTAAAGTTGGTACAGGTGTAGATGTTCGTGTTACTAAGCCTCCAGCAGTGCAAGTTCCTCTGTATTCCAGCGTCTCCGGATGTTGTGATGAACAAGACGAAGGCATTTGGTGGTGAATATCCTTAGAATCATAATCAATATTCCCATCCTTGGCATGATGTATCTGATAGTGTTCGTTCAAACTTGATCTGTCATAACAATTATACAAACAGAGAGCACAACTAAAAGGTTTTTCACCAGTATGCTTGCGATAATGAAGGTTTAGTGTTTCTTCACTGCAAAACCGACGCTGGCAATTAGGCCACTGACATTGATATTTCTTTTCAGAATCTGAATTTTGAAAATAATAATGTACGTATGAAAGTTGACTTTACAAAACATAATATATAATGGCAATAACAAACCATACTATGAAGTGACATTTCTGAGGGTATGGAAAATTAGGCGAACGAATGAATGTCTCTAACTGAAACTAACCATACATGGCGATAGCTATCTCTACCAAGACCCAATGAGTAAATGTCACATTTCAAAATATATTACAACAAAAATCAGAAACGACGCACTAATATAACATTCTAAAAAGTATACCTACTGTGTACTAGTATATCTACCAAACTGACGGCCTAAGTGGCTAATGTGGCATTTGTACATATTTTCCGTCGATTAGAAGTCAACGCCAAGACATAAATTGACAAACGATCTTCATGTGGCTCTAACGGTGTTATTCTATTAATGATTTTACCGTACTTTTTATCTGGCTTGTTTTAATAGATGGTGTAATTATGGATTTAGTATAAGTATCTGTAACAAAGATGAAATTAAAGACTCACTCTTTTCAAAAATACTGAATCAGCAACCTCTTTCCAGTCACCTACGAATAATACAATAGTGTTGCCATTTAAATGTCCTCTCTCCAATTGTAATCTAACATAAGAAGAACCAATTAGTAGTAATGACTTGATCATAACGACCAAACTGCAGATTTGTTGGTCACACCAATAAAAAAATATTGAACCAGATGAAAGATTCAGTAGATGCTCAGCTTCCAGACCAACAGACCGGATTCCGTACGAACCGGCCGTGTACAGAGCAAATGAAAACACTACGGATCATCGTCGAACAATCAAGTGAATAAAACTTATCACTAAATATCAAGCACCTTGACTACGAGAAGGTGTTTGACACTGTGGATAGAAGGACCTTGTGGAACCTTTCTTGACACTATGATGTAACCTGAGAAAATTGCCAACATCATCCGGAATTCATATGACGGACTACACTGAAAAGTCGTGAATGGAGGACAGCTGACAGACTCATTCCAAGTGAGGACTGGAGTCAGACAGGGCTGCTTACTCTCGTCCTTTGCCTTTCATCTGGCGGTTTGTTGGATTGTGAATATTTTCACATTTGAGGGGAAGCACAGAATGCAATGGACAGTTTGGACGTGGCTAGATTATTCGGACTTCGCAGATGACCTAGTCCTTCAATCCCACATACAACAGCAGATGCAGATGAAGACAACTAGTGTGGTGGTAGTCTCTGTATCAGTAGGCCTCAACCTGCACAAGGGAAAAAGTAGGACCCTCAAATACAACACAGTGAATACCAACCCAATCACACTCGATGGAGAAGCTCCAGAACAAGTGGAAAAATTTACGTACCTGAGCAGCGTCAATAATAAATAAGGAGGATCTGATGCGGATGCGAAGGCGAAGAGTGGCAAAGCAAGGGCACACTCCGACAGTTAAAAAACATATGGAACTCAGAACAACTGTCTGCAACCCAACACCAAAGTCAGAATCTTCAATACGAACGTCAAGGCAGTTAGTTCTATTGTACGGAGCTGAAACTTGGAGAACTATCACAACCATCATAAAAAAGTACAAGTATTTATAAACAGTTGTCTACAAAATATATTCAATGTCCGTTGACCGGATACCATCAGCAACAGCCTACTGCGGGAAAGAACAAACCAACTGCCAGATGAAGAGCAAATTAGGAAAATATGTTGAAAATGGATAGGACACACATTGGAGAAACCACCAAACTGCATCATCAGGAAAGCACTAACTTGGAATTCTAGAGGGAAACGGAAAAGAGAAAGACCAAAGAACGCATTGCGCCGGGAATTAGAAGCAAACACGAAAAGGATTGCCCAGGACAGAGTTGGATGGAGCATGCTGGTGGGCGGCCTATGCTACCACATGAGGGGTAACAGGCGGAAGTAAGCAAGTGTCTTCTCAGCTTGAGTTCAATACTTTGGTAAAATTCTATTTGGTTCTGGTGTATGACTTGGAATCACTAAATTTAGTAGTGGAGGTTATCAGAAGTTAACCCAAACTAGTAATTTGATTGCCATATGGTAAAGTAGAAAGTTTCATTATTCATTAATCAGGTCTAAACACACAATCAGAAGGGTGAATTCTCTTAAATTTTACAAAAATTGATCGGATTTAGACTTGAAATAAGACGATATGACAAATCCTAGGTGAGAAATGCTATTCCAGTCAAACTAGTCATCTGATAATTAGGCACGCTATGTAGAAACTCAACATATTGGGTTAGCGATTTCAAAAGAAAACCTAAACATAGTTTGTTTTATCAATTGCCAAAAAGATAATAACCAGACTCAAGTTAGTGGAGATGTACGACCATGTAACCGGAACAAAATTTGCAGAAAAGCCTTAGAACCATTAATAATGTAAATTTAGACTTTTTCAAAACAATCCATTTTCTGTACTTGTGACACAATCAATAAAACTACAGAGTTCATACTGGAACAAAATATTAGGGGGAAAATAACCACCATATCCTTTACATGTAATTATTTAAATTTAATATGGTGGGCTTTCAATTGTTTGCTTTAAAATAAAAAACAAATCACACGGTTTGACAGCAACAAAGGGCCGAATCAATCACCACATAAAACTAAAAGATGGTGATTGCATACATGACATCATATTGAATTCAAAGTTTCAAAAGTGCAGATCTAAGTTGCAAAAAGCAGGGGCATTTAAATAAACTTGACTTATATGCAACTTAATGATGGACAGTAAAAAAAATTAAAACATGGATTCCCAGTTTTCGAGCTACTTGAAATTCCATTCACGATGCTGGATGAGTTCATGACATAATGTAACGATACGCTTTAATGAAAAATTCTTACCCTCATGTGTGGCAATATGACGCTTTAGATGGGTTTTTCGGTGAAAAACTAAGTCACATTGTTCTACTGGACATGCGTAGTTTTTGGGATGTATTCTGTGAAATTCATCCCTGTGATTTTTGAGATACTTTGGCGTACGAAAAGCTCGATCACAACCTTCAATGTCACACACATAAGGTTTTCTTGGATTGTGTACATCTGTATGATATCTTAAACGCAATTTCGTCTTGAATACTCTGCCACATTCATTACATCGATAAGTGTTGCACTGAGCCATAATACAATCATGATCACGTAGAAGAGTCTCACTTGGAAATCGTCGAGAGCAACCTTCACAGTGAAGTTCTTGAGAATTAGCAACAGTATGCATCGACTCTATATGTTTGGTTAGGTTCTTCCCATACTGTGTGGAATACGGACAGTGATCACATTGATGACGCTTTAAGCTATGATTTTCATGCTTCTTCATATGATTTCGTAGAGAAGATCGGTTAGGATACGCAGTATGACAGACTTTACAAACGCAGTCTTGGTTAGCCCCAACTTTCTCAACAAAAATATCATTCGAATGAATCACATCAAGTGAGTTAAAAGATACGCCATATTTGTATCCAGGTGGTAATTCGTTAGACTTATGTGGTAAAGTATTTGAAAGGTGGAAATACGTATCAGCTACATCTGTTTCATGCTGATGCATCGGTCCACGAATGGTGGTATTATTACCCGAAATGGTATACGGTGGGGAAAGATTATGTTTGGGGGTGAGAGATGTATTAAGAGAAGCAGGACCACTGCAAGGAGTTGGTGATTCAGCGACAGATAATTGGTGAGAACGATATTCAGGAGGAGTAGAGCTACTATCTATTACCTCAGAAGATTCATTGGGCTTCACATGAATAGAAACAGGACCACTGTGAGGTGTATGATCAGAAGCTGACATGTTTGTGGCGTATAAACCAGATAGGGTGTGTTGATCACTCATTTGAACTGGAGAGTGGGCATGATGTTTGATTGGGGTAGCATACCGATCGAGCTGTTTTAATCGCTCTTTAAGTACTGGATTATTAGCTAGTCGTTTATCGTCATCACTTGTATCATCATCGTCTGTAGTAGTGTCCGACTCGGTTTCCGATTCGTATTCCTGAGGTTTTGTGAGATCTCTTCGAATGAAAGTCTCATCTGAATTTCCAAGGTTGTTTCTCACGACTTGTGAAGGAATAAGACCAGAATTTGGGCCAATTAAACCAGAAGCCGCAACACTTGACATTTCAAATGCAAGATAACCAACAACACTTCTGTATTCTCATTGAATTCTTTAAAGTGTATTGACAAATCGGAAAGATGTTTATGTGTAAATGTAACTAGCGCTACTGTAAATAAACATCCACAAGTTGTTACCGTAAGTGGGATCGAAAACTCAGCAAATTTACAATAGTTCCGCTTTAAGCAGCTGACCTTGACGACTGATAATTTAAAGCCCGTATTTAGGGACTAATCACATTTTTATTATTGCTTCCAGTTGTTGAAAAATGCATAATACACGAAATGAAACCTTTTAAACTAAAGATATGTGCTTGTATTATATAAGCTCATTGGTCATAAAAGCCATAGTTTCAGCAGAACTGTGTTAAGATATAACGTCTATGTTAGTCTTGGCTTTAAAGATCTATAAGCCAACCCGATTTCAATTTGAAATGCATCCACAGAGACAGTTATTGTCATATGTTGAAGTAAAGGGTTCCACCTGTTGATAATTCGACATGAAAGTCGCCAGCCATTTTGTCGCACCTTCGTTTCGTGTATTATTTACAGTGGCAAATAAATTTATTCCTTTTTGTAACAACAATAAAATGTTGTTCCTTCTCTTCGCTATGTGATATTGTAGATATCAACGTATCCATATTCAGTATGTACTATATATTTGTATCAATTACAAATGAAATTAACCTTTCAACTTATCGATACTACCGCTACTTTTTCTGAGTGACAGTACATGCCTCTTCACTTTGTTTCCCATTTAACATGGGTTGTATATTCACCTCTATAACGTGGGGTTATTGGCTTACATTACCTCATGACTCCAGCGGTGCGGAGTACACAGAAGTTCATTTAATAGAATTCGCGAATTCTGTTTGTGATGAAACCCGGAAGGAACCCCTATATAGTATTCCATTCACGATGCTTTGTTGTGATTTTTGTCATTCATAATGTGCATTTTTTGCTTTTGTGTTATTTCTGGACTTATTTAATTACGTATGCTCAGTTGCTGATTGTTAACTTTTGATTGTCTGCTAGGAAGGGTTACTGGTACCCTTGGAGATGGGTATCTGGTACCAACTTGTTGGGAGTATTTTTATTGATTCTCAGGTGGAGAAATCTTATTAACTGACTATTTCCTTTGTTGTTTAACACATTGTTTTGTGCTAGAGAAACCGTTGACTGTATGGTACAGGCTGTACTGTCTAGGTATTTTGAAGTTATTTATTTTCATTCTTAAGGTCGGAGGCTCCTACTGCAAATTCGGTGGGCAATATGAGCAAAATAAATGAGTTTTTTGAGATCTAAGAGCAAACGATTGGACAGAAATATCTTTATTCTACTAATATTATAGGTACCGCAGGCATTCTGAGTCTGACAGCATTTAGTTGTAACACCTTTACGAATAGAGTGTGGCAAACAAGTCAAATCAGAAATCAGAAACGAAATGGTTGGAAGATGTATTTGAAAGGCGATCGATGTATTGAGAGGCATCTGATCTAAGCTGGCTAACAGTTACAAGGGATAAGTAGCACGGGACATTCACTCGAGCTCTGGTGTGGATGTATGACCAAAGTCCTTCAGCCAAAAATTTTCTAGACAAACGAATGAAGTCAGCATCAATTTCAAGGACTCACAGAACGATTTATTTTGAGGACTTATTTACCACCATCTTATAAACGAGGATCAATTTTACCGAGTGAATTCTTATTCATCTCATTTATTTCATTTAAATAAACTGGTTAACTATTGTTACTTTATTTATAAGTTTGGTAGATCAATTCCTGTTCTGATGCGTCCACAGTGCAGAAAATGAAAGAGGTATTTGTCATGGAATCAAAAACAATAAACCATCTATAACGACCGAAATTCCATTATTAGGTGTGAATGCAGGGATAATGTACCAACATTTATTTGATTAGATCAAACTACGTTCTTCTGCATAGCGCACAGAACGTTTTTGAGCGAATCATAATAAATTATATCAAAACACACGCCCTGAGCTCAATTTAAAGAGTTCGAAATTAAGAAATTAACTCACTTCAAAGGCACAAAATACCTAGACAGTACAGCCTGTACCATACAGTCAACGGTTTCTCTAGCACAAAACAATGTGTTAAACAACAAAGGAAATAGTCAGTTAATAAGATTTCTCCACCTGAGAATCAATAAAAATACTCCCAACAAGTTGGTACCAGATACCCATCTCCAAGGGTACCAGTAACCCTTCCTAGCAGACAATCAAAAGTTTGTAGAACTGTAATAAAACTCGTTATTAGTTCTATTATAATAATGGACCTAATCCTAAAATCGTTTATTTGTTATGATGTGATTGCTTAATCTACAAGACCTTACATAGAAGTCACATCATTGTATACACTGACTCACCGTATCGTAAAAACTAACGATATGATACTTAGTACCTCTGAAGAACACATTTAGGCTGAAAACAGGATAATATATTTGATGTGAATAAAAACAAGTTATACAGAATGACAAAGTCTGCGAAGCTGAGCTCTGCCACTCGACTGAATTGAATGTTCCGGCGTCCACGATTGTTGACCTTCTCTCCGTGTTAAGTGCTGGATATTTATTTTCTGAGTTATCTCATGTTCAGCTTTGAGGATTGTGTGATTAGGGTTAATACCACTACATGTTAACAACCATACACTGAACCATGCTGTAATCTTGAGTTTAACTAGACATTACCTACTGTTAATAGTCTGGCAACGTGCAACAGTGAAGTTAAGTAGCATAATTAAAGCTCAGATAAAGATCAAAGCAGAAAAAGAGGCCCAAATAAAAATCAGAGTTCAAGACGCAATGGGGAAAAACAAATACCAATATTGTCCAATAAACATTTTGGAGGGATCTTCAGTATGATATTTTCGCTGCAAATATGCTGTTTAATGATCTTGAATAAAGATACTTATTTGATATTTCTTTTATTCATAGTAAATATATTGTTCTATCTTCATCCTTAATTGTGTTCTTTAGAAAGGGCATTCATATGGCTAATTGTAGACAATGATATAACTTCCACATAAGATTTTATAGAACAGGTAGTCACATAATGACATATCGACAATTTTAGGATTAGGCCTATTATTAGAACAGTACTAATAAAGAAGTAGACCATAATTCTACGGTTGCATGAAGTGAACGAGCAAGAATGACCGAGCCATGACTTTTCTCTTCTGGGTTACCAAGTTCATTATTTTTGACCTTCCATAATTGTTAAATGTGGGCTGTGAATTTCCTCGGTTATCGTATGTGCAGCTTCAAAGATCCTGTGATTAATAACCAACGCCACTACATATCTTTCTGAAGCTTTACGCTATCGAATTCATTTTGTGGTGGTCACTTTGTTTTGAAGCTATTGACGTCCAATAAGAGACAATTAGAAGAAAGGGAAGGCTGTTTAGAATCAAGGTCAACAATAATGGTTGATATACTATGTTAGCAAGTGAAGTTTCTCAGACCCACAGCCATGTTACCCATCATACGTGATGTATCCCTCTCTTACAATATTGACCGCTGGGAGTCAAATCAACTGCATTTTGACAAGGTTACAGCCGCTTGATGCGAACTAATTGATGAACGTGATGAAATAGATGCATATAGTAGTCCAATCATCCTCTTTACATTGACTTTATTTAATCTGATATTTTAAACTGGTGTCCTCTTCTGTTAAGGTTCCGTCTAATCTTTAAGCATACCACAAAAGCAAGAAAGCTTAGTCACAGATTTGGGGTAGGTGAAGATTATTAATTGATAAAAATTATTTAGCTCTATAATACTGATTCGAGTCTGATCTTTACAATCCCACTTCACAGGACCACACTTAGCCCTGTTTCTATTCGGACAACTTTTTGTTTGTCCATGCTTTTATTTGCAACACTCAATTTATTCTTATTCCAATTTTATTTAACGTTGACAACTTTGAAACTTTATTAAATGCCTTCCAGAAGTCAGTGGAGGATTTGTTCGTAGGTAGGTTGCTAACGATTGTTTAAGTAGCCTCCTTGTGTCCCCTATAATTGTGAAAGAATAGTAGCCAGCTTTAGGATCATGCCGATTCTCAGCATATTTCATGGATACTGAAGTTGTTACTTACAGATAAAATCCATCGAAATACTGACAGCTACATTAGTTAGAGTGAAAATATAATGATTTCCAGTGTTTTCACAGAGAGTGCTTTGACGGCGTAGTATTGTATTATAAATTATAAATGTCTTAAAATAACCACTTTCAATAATCGGAATGAAAGGTGAGAGTCCCCTCAGAGACCCTTCGTGGGTTCCACACGGCCCTACCCATTCTGTCATACCATGTTGACTGGGTTTTTAGGGATATCGAGTTCTTAAATGGTCAAAGGATATGGAGTGTGGTTAGTATGACTCGAACTTGCCTAGGCAAAAGGTGTCTGTTCTCTATATAAGCCACTAAAATCCTTTAATCAAGCCTCGGATTTGTAGCGATCAATATTAGATAGTGGCTATATGGAATGCCTAATAATATACGAATGTTATTTTCAGTATCGTCGTTTGTACGCAAAATGTGCATCTCACTGGTTCGATAATCAATTTAGACACTTGCGTTGTAAGTTTTGACTGTGAGTTCATGATATTTGTGTTTTATGATTATGTGACAATGGTGTAAATTATGTTCTGTTTACTTCTAACGTTCTTAATTTTCTAGTCACATCACATCCACGACCAACTGCAGATCAGAAAGGCATTTTTGAAAAGGGTTGTTATGAGTTGTCATTATCCTAGTTTCATCATTGTGAACCTCGGATAGACTGTGTTGTGGGTAGTTCAGTTAATTCAAAGGCTGTTATGACTAAGAGGCCACAATGAACGAATTTGAGAATGCTTGATGATCGTCGTTATTAAGGTGTCGTTCTATTCATTTTGTCAAGAAAATCGTTGGTTAACTTGGCAGTCATAGGTATGGATACGACATTATAGTGGTGGTAGTTACTGGATGGAGAAAAACGATAATGAGGACAACTGGAAAGAGATTAAAGAAACACTAAAGTCAAAGTGTCAGGAGGTTCAGGGCCGCGAGAAGCACCATCATAAAAAATAGTTCTCTATCGAAACACAGAGTAGAATTCAGGAAAGGATAAAGACGGGGACTGAAAGTAACAACAGCCAAACAAGAAAATAAAATGTCAAAACACATGTCAACTACGCAGAGCCAAAC